TCAATAATGTAATTATAAACATATATAAACAATTAATCCAGCAGCATTGAATGGAAGAAAAAGAGGAGGCAATAGCCGGAGGAGAAGAAAAAGAAGAAGAAGAAGAAGAAGAAGAAGGAAGACAAGAAGAAATAAGCCAGGTAGAGTTGTGGGGGTATATATATGTCAACTTACCCATGTGTTGTTAGTCGGTGTTATTTTCACCGACAAAGATAACATTGGTAAGTGACCGAGAGTGAGAATCAAAATTTTGCAATCCGCGCCCAAATTACCGACCAGCTTCCTGTCGGCATATTTTTGGCCACTTTACCGACAAGATACAAGTTGGAAAATGAATTTACCGACTAGAAGTACGTTCCTAGTATGGCCGGTAACGATTCACCAACTTCCTCTCCAGATTTCGTCCATTTTGCCTAAGTTACTTTCCATATTTCATTTTCATGCCATTTTCTGAATTTTTGTAACAAATTTCTTACATGTTAGTGGACATAAAATTTTAAAAAAATTATCAAAATTCTCCTATATATATGATAAAAGGTATTTTTTTCTTTAAATCTGCAGTTGCAATACTACAACTTTGTGATAAAAAATGCAATAATTTGAAATTTATTCAATAGATTTTTTGTAATTTGGTCATTTTAGTTGGTATAAATTCTAAAAAAAATTTGACAGAGTTTCCCCGTACATATGATCAAAACCAATTTTTTTTTACCTACATTTGCAATGAGAAACACATATATTCTACAAGTTTAGTATGCTAAAAACAATTATACCTTTACAACCACAACTACAACCACAACCACAAAGTATATATGGCAATCACACACCATTGTTTTAAATACCCACGATATTTACTTAATAATAATTAACCTCCAAACCAGTCCAAAACTTCATACCTTTTGAAGTATGATCATTGGAGGTCAAGCAAAATAAGAAAATATATCGTAATAAAAGCTAAAGCTAATAGTTTAAAGTACTAATAGAAATAAAGCCAACCATGCAAAGTATGCAGATAATGTGCGAAGCGGAAAAATAAAAAAACTAAGGACCTTGATAGTCTGGATCAAAAGTAGGATGGTATGCATCATCATCTTGAGACGGAAACTGCCGCTGCTGCTGATATTCAGGGACCATAGGAGAGGTTTGTGTAGAATCAGTGGAGTAGGTGAAAGCTGAATTCATGCGAAGACCTGAGCCAGGACCATGTGACGGCTATGGTGGGGCAACTGGATGATGAGGGGAGATGCCATGAGCGGCTAGAGCTGCTACAACAGATTGTGTGATTGTTTGGCTCATATTATTATGAGCTTTTGTCATGTTGGCCAGCTACTGTTGCATCAGCGCAATTTGTTGGCATTGTCTTTCTGACTTCTCATGATCTTTTACCTGTGTCTCCTTATAGTCAAATGCCATCAATGCTGCTATTAAGTTTTCTCGGGGTTGTCTCTTCTTGTAAGTAAAACCAACCATCTCTGGATTTACTTGAGAGCCAATCCCTGGCATGAAATTAGATGAGCAACCTCCAACAGCCTTAACCCATGCCTCGTTATCCATGCATGGCCACGAACTAGCATTAGAGCCATGACTATCTGTGCACTCCGCAACATAAGTATCTTGAAAAAATAATAGTAATAGTAATAATGTTGTCACAAGTAGTTTGAAAAGAATCTATAAAAAAAAGTAGACTTTAGTAAATAATTTAGATTAATTACATAAATTTTTTTCACGCTTATAACTATACATTTTATGCTAATTTATATGTTATATATACTTACATATCGATACTTTGCTTTTTCATTGATCCACATTGGCTCTTGATCCTTTCTTGCCTTTTTTTTCTGAAGGTGTGTGTCTCCTTGAATTTCTCTTGATGGGGAGGTTGCACACCACCTCTAGACTCAATCCATATTTCAAAATATTGATAATGCAATATATTGATTAGTATAAATTGACACAATTTATTGTTAAATAAAATCTAATATACTAAATTTTTTATTAATTAAGCTTGATTACCATCTGTATCTCATGGATGCCAAAGCTAATGGACCTAGTGGTGTGAGTCACCCTTTCCCCAGAGCTTCTATTCTTTGCTCCCCTTGCACTGAGCCTCTTATATTCATCAAAGTCCCAATATGTCAGCAGCTGAGGCCATATATGAGTTGGGATCCAACATGGGACATAGGCTGAGTTCTTGTCCCATTTCAACTTCTCATCCTTGAGATTGTCACTCCATCTATGTTTCATACAATTTAGGAATGCATCTCGCACATGGCGATTATCTGCAAGATCCTACTGGTAAAATGTCTGCAAAATAAGAAATGAATAACATTAGATGTCTGAGAAATGTAAATTCTAGTTTAGTAATAAAATTATTTATTTTTATTAGAAATTGCTAAATCCATTCATTTTATTAAATTTGTTAAAACTTAATCTTACCTTGAAACAATTATAAATTTCAGCAATCTTGCTTTGGGGGACACGCTTGTATGTGAAATACGGGCCATCAAAACGTGACTTCCATAGTGAAGTGATAGCCCGAGGGATGTTTGGATCAGCAAACTGGAGCTTATCATCAGTGAGTTTAACCCATTTCCTGCTCTCTCTATTTTTCGGAGGGCGTATTCCTTTTAAATTCCTACTTCGTCCTTTTTTCCTCATCGAGGATGAAGGGCCCTTGTTCTCATGATCAGGTGCAAAATTATAATCCATTAATGGATCAATCGTTTGTTGTATATCCAGAGCTATGTCATTATCAGTAAACAGCTGTGGGTGATTAAAATTGTGTTGCTCTTGTGATCCTAAGGAGAAAGATCTCCTCCTTGCTGAACATGTAGAATTTCCAAACATCTTGAAAAATGAATAGCAAAATAGTTATTAATACATTTATACAAATAATGAGTAACAAATTTAGAACAATCATACAATGATTCTATTTTAAATGAAAAATATATAACTTAATAAAACAATATATATAACACAAAGAAATTTTAATACATATATTTAATAAGTAATAATACAAATGTTTCAATTAATCATCATTATCATTGTTATCATTACCATCCTCAACATTATCACTATTTCCTAAGGATTCTGAATCTTTTTCTTCTCCATAGTCCTCCTTTTCTTCAAATGTATTAGCATCAACCTCAACTTTTGTAACACCTTCTGTACATAGTTGAAGCGATTGGTATACAGTAGACCTGGCAATTTTTTACCCAACTCGTTAACCCGCCTATTACTCGCCCGTTTAAAACGGGTTAGGATCATATATTTATGACTTGTGACCCATTAATGACCCATTAAGAGAACCCAACAGGTCACGGGTCAATAACGGGTTAACCCATTGGGTTAACGGGTTTGACCCGTTTACCTATTTAAAAATATAAAATTTTTTAGTTTATTATTTATTTATTTTGTTCTCTAATTCCCAATCCCACCTAAACCTCTAATAATTGACTAATATTCCCTAATTAACTAATTGATTCTCTTGACTCATCATCTTCTATAAGTAAAAATAATCACACTCCACTCATAACTCACCTCCCGACCTTTCCTATTCTTGCTTGCCCTAATACTCTTGAAGACTCTAACTCTTCAAACTTCAAACTCTCCTCATATTCTTCAACCTCCATGGTTCATACAGCCTTTGACTTTCAAGCTTCGACTTCACCTTTTCTCTTTAGTCTTTAACATTATTTCAGACTTAGATCTTAGTCTTATCGAGTCACCGTTGCATCTACTCAGCCTTTTCTTTTTTTCTCCTATGAGTCCGGCAAGTGCTCTTTTTGTCACCAACTTTTCTCTCTAAATACTTCAAGGTAAGTTGTTTACTTATTTATGCTTTTTAGTTTTCTTTCCATTCCAAG